TATATATATATACGTAAATTAAAAAGTCCTTCCGAAGCGGGCGACGGGATTTCGATTCCGGCGACCGACAGCTTCTTACGGGCGACCCCCAAACCTTAACTTTTTCCCCTTTTAAGCGCCGACAAGGCCCAAGCGACGTTTGCTTGTGGATTTATTTATTTATTATTGAGGACAATTATGAAGCGTCCCTTCTTAAAGAGCAGTTTTATTGGTTGAAGGTTTCTCAGATACCAGACCATGTCCATGTCCCTAACAAAATTCATATCCATAACCCTTTCAATTTGGCCTCTCAATTTTGTGATAAATAAATATATAGTTCTTAATTATTACTACTCTTTTACACTCTGCTGATATCAAAATTTTACTAATGGATTATATTAATCGTTAAGCCTCAGGTGCCTTTCACTTTTTGCCAACTAATTGCCTTTATCTCATTTTAAGTCTCTAACTAATTTGGACATAGACAACATTTACTCCATGGATCTTTGCATCAACCTCGCCTCTATGATAGCTTTAATGATTGAAATTTTTATAGAATGAGATTCCGAGTCCTATGTTTTTTTTCTATAAAATTTATCAATCTATTGTATTTTTTTTAATTTTTCACCTTAATATTTGTACTCTTTTGGATAAAAGTAAATTGGTTATCGTAGCACAGTGTTTGAAAGAAGATTTAATTATGCCATTCATGTTCTCTCTGTAATTGATTCCTTTTTTTTTTAACTTATGTCGTATATATGTAGAATTAGTCGAATATGCTATTTTTGTAATTTTTATGAATGCATTCTTCGTCGATTCATGTGATGATTGATAATGATATGGAAGATAGCTGGTATGGACTACTGAGCTTAATCAAATGTAAAATCCATAACACCACAACACCTTGATAAAAAAAATAAAAAACACCACAAATAAAATTCATGACTACCACAGTAAGCATAATTTCAAGAATATTCCATAGCAATAGAAAGCTTATTCACAATCTTTTAGTGCAAAATAGAGAGTACTATAAATTAGGTATTTTTAATTTTAATGCTTGATGTGATTTTCTATCTTAATTATTCAAAGAATGCAAGTTAATTTTTCATTTTGACATTGCTTGCTTGGTATTCTTTTTTGTTGCTTAGACATGCGAAATTGAGTGAAAATATCTTCCCTTTACTTGAATGAAAATAAATCGAGTTCTAACTTCTTCTAGGAAATAGTTCATATCTGGACTCCTTTTTATTCTATCGGGTAGGGTCAATGAGTTGAATTCGATTAAAACGGGTTGTTGTCGAGCCGGCGGCTCGACCATTTTGAATTGTTTAATAAATAGGTCATTTTGGTTTGGGTATTTAAGTTGAAGCAATTTTGAATCAAACTCAAACACGATCTGACAACCCAAACTAACAGCCTATAGGATAAGCTAGGAAGCATCTGACTAGATAAATTTTAAGGGCTAATGATATATAAAATTGACAAGTCATGATGTATTAAAAAAAAATGGACTCACTAGGATACAACATTAGTTCATAAAACAGGTTCATACTAGAGTAAAATGAAATGCATTAAAGTTAATAAATATTAACAGAACATTATTGAAATCGATTGTCCTACTTTGTTATGCTCTTACTAGTTATAGGGACCAAAACACAATTTACTCATTAATGATGAATAAAGTTTTTAATCTAACTAAAAGAGACAACCTTGTAAAAACCAAACTACCTCATCCAATCTGGTTAGTTTCAGCAGTACTTTAGTAATTTTTTGATAATTTAAAACAGATGCATAAGTTTAAAAATGAATAATTTCCAAGATTAATTATTCTTCTGCTTAAAATTGCTTTACAACAAATAAGATTGAACTTAACTATTTCCCTTATATGTCATTATTTATTAAAAGCTAGATAAAGATGAAACATTTATGGGTCTCGTGACCATCTACTAAATTTTTTTTTATTTTTGATGAAGAGCTCATACTATTATGTTTAATAAATATGATTAATCCATCTAATAACAAATAAATCAACACTTGAATAGTCTTGCATGTTTTGATCTAGTCTCTTATTCATAAATTTTAAAGCAAATAAAAAAAGAAATTTTAAATGCTAAACTAAAATACACTACCACATTTCAACATGAAGCTCAATGCAGTTACAAAAATTTATAGCACAAGAAAATACCAGATAAACAAAGAAAGTTAGATGGCACTTACAATCTTCATTTGACTTAAACCATCGAAGTCTGGTGCATTTTCACCAAATATTTGCATGATCTCTTCTCGTGCTCTTTCCTGCCAACTTGGATATACACTCAACAAAACTGCTGTCCAATTAAGCAAAATACTTGTTGTCTCTTGCCCAGCAAAATAAAATAGTTTACATTCTTCAATAATATCTTCAACCGACAGTCCACCTATTTCAAATTTTCCATGCTCTTCAGACTCTTTCAAATTAGACTCAATCATTAGGCCTAATAGATCGGCGCTATTTTTCTCTCCATATTTGATAGCCTTCTCTCTTTTTTCAATCATACTTCTCAGAAGGGATCGAACCTCTTTATCAAGGTGTTTTCTTCGTCTGTTCATTGAAGTAGGTAAAAATCTACAAGAAGATAATCAATTATATGTAAGCTCCATAGCATATACATAATGGTCAAAGCATTATGCTTATTAATTCAAAGAAATAACAAAAAAAGGTTTCTACAAGCTGTAATGGTGTATAATGAATTTGCATTTACTTGCAATGACACAACGTTTGACTAGAGTAAAAAAAATTATCCTATAATTACAAATGGAGAAGAAAGCTAGTAATTTTATTATTACAAAACAAAATAAAGTTGTATAGAGATTGAAAATTCACTCACATAAACTATCAGGACTCAACAAAAATAAGAAGAATTAATCACTCTATTTAGACAAAGCACTAGAAAATTAAATGAACAAAAACTATCCAAGATCCAAATACATGTGTTTATATAGCTTAAATCATCATTTAAAGTGGATGAGGAAGCAGAATTAATGCTTGGAGTTAAGTTACTAGCCATTGGAAACACAAAATTTATCTTTTGGAGCCTCTCTCCTTCTTTCGACTAAAAATTTATTCCAATGTCTCATCACTAATCTTATTCTCCTTGACCTTGTGATTAGTGCCATTAGAACGGCTCTCCATGCTTTGAAAACACCTTCACGAATTGACCTTTATAATATGTGTCAGGCATATGCATCCACAACCTCATTATAATTCCTATTCAATTCCTGAGAAGTCATTCTTACTGGCTTTTGAAATTTCTTCATGTAGTCTTCTATCTCCTTCACTTTAACACTACCTTTTATAGGTCTGAAGTTGATACATAATCTATGGTGCGTAGGCTTCTTCCATAGATAACTCTAAAGGAAATCTAACGCAGAAGTGATGGAAACTAAAGTGAATGGTTAAAAGGAGTAATTTTACTTGATGTATAAGGAAAATAGGAGGAGCTGAGAATCATTAATTGTTTGTAGGACTTTAAAATGATGAAAATCCCAAGGGTGAATGAGATCTTTCTAACAAGGGATACTGAGAATTGGGTTGATTTTCATGTGATTGATTTTGTGTGGAGCTTAAGAGGGAGTTATGGAAAGAGAAACAGTGGGTGCAAATATTTCATCAATGGCTTATTATGTAAGAAAAATGACGCCTTGAATATGTCAAATTGGTGGGATGGAGACAATTTTTGACCAAATTTCAAAATATGATGCCTCTGATCAAAATTTCATTGCTATATATAGAATTTTAGAAACATAAACCTTAAGGAGAATGGAAACACATGGGAATACAAAGGGTCACTGTGGAACATGAAAAGAAACATAAATGAATGTTAACGCCTAGCCAAATAATACTGTGAAATATGGAATATAAAGCAATATTTCTCCATCTTTTATCTCCCACTAAGGAGAGAATTAAGAGTTCACATGGACCAGCAATACAGCATCAAGTACACTCTAAAGCTTCATGTAGAAGCTATTTATATAATTCCCACCTCTATAGGTACACATGTTTTCCTCTAAATGATCCAAATGCTCTAATTGTGGTTGACTCATGCAATAATGCATGATAGCATTTTTTTTTAAATTTTTGTAAGTTTGTATAATATGTACACAACTATTCACATTTTCCTCACATTTACATCATTAACACAAGTACATCATTGAATTTCTTTCAGTTTGTTTGTTATGTTTGATTTTTAAATCATGTTTTCCATCTATGAAATATTAAAAGTATTAATTTCATGATGTTTACACATCTCCTCGTGATAGATAATATGTTTTGTCATAAACCTCTTCCTTTTAAAACACTGGCAACAAAAAGATATAGCATAAGGTTATTCCAATTGTATCCTGAGAAACCAAAATTATTGGAAAGAAAAATGAGTTTATAAAAAGCCATTAGATTTAGGATCTTTTGTGAGAGACAATACAAGGAACAGTAAAATAATGCAAAATAGTTCAAGCAACACAACAAAATGCCATGATTTATATGGTAGGATTAAACAAGCATACGTGTACAACCACATAGAGCGATGATGGTTTCAATGGTTTCAAATAATACAAAGTCAACTATATGGTACGGAAATTTTTCTTGCAATATTAAGTCTCCACTCGACCTTGTTTTTATTCTGTTTATAGCAAAGGGTTTATAATATATCTATACACAACTAATATTATATGTAATCATATTAATATATTAACCTTACCCTTTCTTCTCTATGAGCCCTCAATAACATGCTATAAGGGACAACTATTTTGCAAGCTACATGGCCGCCTATACACATGAAGGCACCAAACACCCTCCATTGCTGCTAAGAGCACCGACCTTCAAGCCTGCTCACTAGCTTCTTCAATAATTATTCTTATTTTCAATGATCTGAGGCTTTACCAACAACAACTCCAAACCTCTGGTCTGCTTGATATCAACATCAATGGAAACAAGAGGTCTTATAGAAGCTTAGATGTTATCAGAGCAACTGTTGTTAGCCTCTATAGAAAGAAAGCGCCCGGTAAAACAGTGCGAGCTGGGACTATAGGAGGTTCCTACCATTTCAAGAAATTGATTATAGAATGGCTCTTATGACCAAAAAACAATATTAGAAGTTCTCAAATTACTTCAAGGACCTGCGAGCAATGAGTTTGCTCTTTTGATGAAGCATAGATTCTTAGGATGCAAAGGTATTTATGGATTTAGTAAGTGGTTTGTTCACCATATAATCAAGGATTGATAGATAAACCATTTTATTTGCCCAGAAAAAAATGAACCAAGTTTTTTAGAATCTCGATCAAACTTGAAAAAACTACATATAAGCTGTTTCCAAACTCAAATCTAAAGAAGAAACTGATCTTGACCTCCACAAACCTAGAAAATGGTACATAATATAGTACTTCAAATTTTCTACGTAAATATCTCTATCAATTTGCAATAAACAATTCGAAAAATTTACATACATAGCACACAATTCTTATGTATTTACGTATCTTACACCAAAACTTCATATTATCATAAGGTGTCCCGAAAAAATTTTCACCTGCTTAAGCTTGTAGTGTTTTAAAAGGAACGATAATTAAGTCTTAATCACTTGTAATAAAATAAAAACAACCAGAAATAAACCATAACTGTTTTTAGCAGAATAACAAGAGCCTACTGATCATACCTGAAACCTGGAATATATACAGTTCGAGAAGCCTGAATAAGAAGTTCGGCTTGCTCTGTCTGAATTTGAAATATTCGTCTACCTTCTTCATAGCTACTACCAAACGCTGTCCTTGAGATGACATCGCCAGTTAAATTTTGAAATTCAGGCCAGACATCCAGTTCAAATGTTTCACTGGAGCCAACTATGTTCTCCCATCGTTTAATTAATTCGCTACAACAATTGAAGAATGCTGGTTGCATAAGCTGGAAACCACAAAATTTTATTTCATGGATAAAAACTGATGAAAATTATATTACTACTTTTAGTGGATGTCAATGGCTCAAAAAGTAGGAATGATTATAGTATAGAAGTTATTCAAAACAATGGAAACTTACCTTCAGCTTCTCAACATGAAATGCAGGATTGATAATCCTCCTGCATTTGGCCCATTTTTCCACATCATAACTTGCATGTCCAGTTACCAACACCTTCCATATTGGGTTAATCTTTGGTTTCAAAAAGTGGCCAGATTTGGTAGTTAGAATTTCACGGACCAGATTAGGATCCATGATGGTTACTCTAGGCACAGGGCCACCCCACGTAAAGCAAAATTTGCCTATTTTGCATATCAATATGATTCAGTGCTTAGTTCAAGTAGAAGAATAACTTCAACAGTTTATCTAGAAAAACTATCAGTGAGCAATGAAAGATAGAAGCAATTCTAATAGACTGGAGTATAAGCCTGCTGGACAATGAAAAAAACATGAATACCTTCTAGCATTTTGAAATGCTATCATCATAATATACTTTACCAAAATGATATCTTTTATCATAGGAGAAGTTAGCAGAAGTGGCCTTACTGGTTTTCGATGCATGTCCAATAAAATTTGATTTAAAAGTGAATTATTAATAAATTACACATCAAATTATTCACAATTATAATGGATGAGTCTCAAGGTCATTTAGTTTAAAAATAATAAGCAGTTGGAATTATTTTGGTTGATAAAAGAGATTGTGCTTTTGAGTAATTTTCCTAGATAATAAAATTTGTCCCCGAGTAAAAAAAATGAAAAAAAGAAAATCTGGCTTCATACCTGCTCTCTCATAAAATCATTTACATGACACTTCACTGAACATGTTTTTGCTCAAGCTCAAATCTGTTTCTTTACTTATATGTTCATCCTCTGATTTTAGCTTTAATGTTTTTCTAAACCATAGATATCAAAGTAAAGAAAGATATAACTTTAAAAGAAGCACCATCACACCACCAAAAAAAATTATGAAAATAATAGCGTGGAATAGGTATCTAAATGTATATATGAAAATGTGTTCGCACGAATCTTAAAGTAGTTGGGTGACCTAGGAAGGAAGTACGACCAATCAGACATAACAATAGACATCGTTTCAGATGACCAGCGACGTAAAAAAACACCTTACGATAGAAGATGACTAAAGAATGTCACTCAGGATGGTTATCAATATTCAGAACGATTGATTGCGGGCACTCCTTCGGACGATAAATCGATTGAATCTAGGCCTCGACGACCATTATGATTATGACGCTATTATGTACTTTGTAACATTGGGACCTAGACATATAAATAAGAGTTCATATTATGAATAAAGAATATATTTTACTTATCTACTATGGCTTCTTCACGAAAAATTATTACATACGGACGGACACGAACACTGCATGCATTTCTGCATGCGGTGTTCGATCCTGACCTTAGATCAGACGATCTACGGTCAGGATGTATTTCGGTGGGCCCTACCTCATAATTTTTTTTAAAAAAAAACTAAAATATATCGGGCAACGCTTGCAGAGAGGCATGCGGGGGCCGGAGAGGCGTGCGTTCTCCTTGAGGTCGCCTGAAGGAAAACGGTAGCGAGTTCCGAGAAGACCCTGAGCCCGGAGAGCGCGCTCAAGCTGGCGGGGGCGCCACCATAGCCATGTGGCTAACCACAGAGCCCATAGCATCAAGCCTGCAGTTGCCGCCGTCGCAACAGCTAACCACGGCGCTTTCGCCGGCGTCAAGACACCAAACATATCTCCGGTCACCATTGATTTCCGCCTCTTTCCAGTCAAGGCCTTCTTACCTGGCGATTCAACAGCGAGCAAGGATCTTATTAATGACAAATGGCGGGAGGAGTAGCAAAAAGGACAAGGTAGCAAGTACGAGTACCCTGCAGCGGTGATGTAAAGCATCTAAATTATAAATAAAATAAAGAATTTTAAAATGTTGATTTTGAGCACTCAATTTTCCCGATTAAAGAGATTGTTCATCTTCACTCTCTTTTGAAGTAGGACATGAACGAAAAAGAAATTAAAGGTGCCTTTGTGGCAGTTTATGCGCAGTTTATCCTGAAATGCGGTGCGTTTAGTGTAAAAATGGAACCGAGTTTTCATATAAGCCATCAAAACGCGTGATCGGAACGGTACCGCAGCTTTTTCAAAAACGCCTTAGCACTTATAAACTGTCCTAAACGGGCCCTAAAAATTTTACAATAAATAATTTCTAGTCCATCTGCATACATTTCATATAATTCATATATATCTATATTTGTAATGTCCAAATTTTAATATTTATTTATATCATATTTTCTTAAAATCAAATTAAAACAAATCAGTTTAAATTTGTGATATTTTTATGTGATTTTAAAAAATTGAATGTTATATAGTTAAATATTAAAATTTAAATGTTTGATAATCAAAATACAAGAATTTGTTAGAGAACAAAAAATAAAAAAATAAAAAAAATACAATACTTTGTGGGATGTTTGTATATCCCCCAAAGATTATTAAAAAAAATTATTTCTCCAAATTAAATCAGTTTAAATTTGTGATATTTTTATGTGATTTTAAAAAAATTGAATGTTATATAGTTAAATATTAAAATTTAAATGTTTGATAATCAAAATACAAGAATTTGTTAGAGAACAAAAAATAAAAAAATAAAAAAAATACAATACTTTGTGGGATGTTTGTATATCCCCCAAAGATTATTAAAAAAAATTATTTCTCCCCTAAGTGAAAAATAATAAAAAAAATTTCTTAAATATAATTCTTAAAGTGTCAAAACTAATTTTGTTTTAATAAGAAATTCTCACTTTTTGTCATTATATAATGATAAAAATATTTTAGATTAATAATGGTACAATATATATATATATATGATGAGTATTATTTTGAGTTAAAATGGGCTGAACACAAACAAACAAATCTTTATTTGTGTTCTGCTCGTTAACTTAGCGAACGAGCCGAACACAAGCTTTTTATTGAGTTGTACATGAGATATTTGCGAACAAAGAACCGTTTTGATGTAATTATATATAATCTATCTCTTTCAATGAGAAAAGTTATAAGATTTCTTTTGATGATATGAGTTAGAAATATAAAGCGTTGAAGTATAATCAAATATGTACTATATGATGTACGTAAGTGTATTCCAAAGGGGAAAATAAAAATAAGAGCAAGGAGACACCTGCCTTGCGACGTCTCAGGTGACTTATTAGCTTGAGAATAACTTACCATGTCGTATTTATGATGGACTCGCTAAGTAGGTTAATGGAGAACTTGACCTGTTGAGTTCCATGGACGTACCCAATAGACTGGGTGGACTCATACACCAAATAAGAAGAGGAATATTCACTGAGCTAAAAAGAAAAAAATTGTTTAAAACATCACTAGGCTCATCAGATTGGTCCAATCTATTCTAAGTAGCCATCTTCACCTAACAAAGTAACTCAACCCATACTCTTAGAAGACATAATAAATCCCCTACATATGGTCGACCATTAGTCTGAGTCCATGTTTGCACTTCGGTTAAATGTTTCTACTTTATGTGATTATGAAATTATTACATTTAGCTCTCATTTTGTTTCAATTTATGTAACACTGAGTCTATAGACCATTAATTATAAATATATATTTTTTTAAGAATTCCAAGAAATTAACCTCTTCAAACTTTTCTGTCATTTAATGAAATGTTTTCATCTAATTTTCTATACTCTTGTGCTTCTAAATAGATCTTTCATTATTTACCCACTTATCTTTCCCCACACTTCTCATTTCCTCGTAAGATTCTAGCATAATTGAAAATTATATCATAATTTAATAGTACAAATGGATGGGTCAAATGCATGCTTAATCTCAAATATATGGTATGAATATGCATTTATAATGTTATGGAGGACATGCGTAAGATATAGAAATAAGGAATAAATAATTATAAGGTTATGATGAAAGCAACATAAGTAATTTTTATAAAGAAGTCTTCTATTCTATAATAAACTTGTTGATTTCATGTTTGATAAACACTTTATTGGCTCAAGGTCACTTATTACTTAAAATCTCTATGCAAGCAAGTATGAGTATGAGAGCAAGTGTAGGTTGTCGGCTTTATTTTTCGACATAGGTCCTTATAAAACCATACAAATTTGAATATCAATATTGAAGCTAATATGCTTTCTCCATAGATAGAAATATCACTTTACAATGACTTTGATTACTTAATTTAAGAAATATTGGATATTTGTAAGGTCTAAGATTAAAAACAACAAATCTTTTCCCTATCTAATCTGAAGACTAGATAGGTTTTAGTGTTCACTTAGGAAAACTTTTAATTTTGATTGAGATTTTAAGTTTAAGAAATTTTTTAAGTTTAGTGTCATGATTGATTATTGGAAGTTCAAATGGGAATGCTCAAAAGTGGAACAATTATTTATAAAAATCAAAGTATGAAGAGTAGAAGATGTCAAAAATACTGAAAAAGACTCAATGACATCTCAAATATCCTATTGTTCGACTTTAATGATTTTGGAAGAGATTTATTTGATGATTCATCTCAACATTTTATTAAATGTTGAGACTTATATCACATGATATGTGGTTGATAGAAAGCCTGAGAGGTGAGGTTTTATATTGTAATTAGACGAACAATCTCAGAATTCTAAGACTAAAGGTTAAGTTCGTCGAAATAAGTGATGCTTTAGAAACTTAATCTTAATGACAAAAGAACACAACAAATAAAATGTAATTAGGGTTGTCATCTAAACTGCCTAGACATAGTTAAAATCACGCATACTCGATCTCAATGAATGCAAGATAAGATAAACTGTTGTTTATTAAGAAAAATCAGAACTTACAAGGCGATTATAAATCAAACTACCTAAATATGACTAGTATGCATAATATCATAAAGCAAATGCGAGTATATTTTTATAATTTAAAATTGTAAAGCTCACCAAACTCAAGTGTTTATTTATTTTTGTTAAATTCTAGTGTCAAATGAACATAGCAAGCCATGTAATATATCATACAAGTCCTTGATGATGAATGTTTAGAAGATTTATTCATAAGGCTAATTAATGTGTTAAGGCAAATTTGTTTTATAAGGTAGTGGTTTTCACATGACAAACTACCCCTATTAGTCCAATGAGTGAAGGCCTAAAAGATAAGGGATAGATATAATATTATATATAGCAATATGGTTCGAACATAATTGAAAAATAGAATATCTTTTGATTGTGCCACTTTATTATTTTATTTTTATAAATTCTTGCATTTTTATAAGATTCTTGTCTAATTTTATCTAGTTCATTTAACTATAGTAA